GATCCAGTCACAGATCACAAAAATGTGGCCGAGCACCAACACTTGGCCATATTTGTGTGAGGTAAGGATTTTTTTTCAAGAAGTGAAGCATTTCAGATAAAATGTAATTCCGTTTCTATTTTTTTGCTTCTGAAATCCACTTCTTTCAGAAAGTTTTCAGGAATCCTTTTCATGTGTTGCTTCAGAATTTTGCTGTATGTATGTATATTTGTTATACATCACAATATACACTACCGTAACATATACCACTTAGACTGCTGTTTTGTGTACTTTAACAGATTGTTCACATAACACTTTGCTACTTGATTTTCTCGGTCAACATTGTATTTTTATTTTTGTTTTTTAAAAAAATTTATTTATTATTTTTATTTTATGTGTATGCGTGTATTGCCTGCATGTAGATAAGTACACCTGTGTTGTGCAATGCCCACGGAAGTCAGAAGAAGCTGTTGGATCTCCTGGGACTCAAGTTACAGACAGTTGTTAGCTGCCATGTGGGTGTTGGGATTCGAACCCGGGTCTTCTGCAAGAACAACCAGCGTTCTTAGCCACTAAGCCATCTCTCCAGCCCCTGTTTTTGTTTTGTTTAATACAAGTCTTTCTGTAGCCCCAGATAGTCTGGAACTTGCTATATAGACCAGGCTGGCCTTGATCTCACAGAGGTCTGCCTGCCTGTGCTTCCAGAGTGCTGGGATTAAAGGTGTATACCACCAAACCTGGCTAACTTTTTAATATTTATATTAACAAGCCCTTAATACAAACAGGTCTAATTCATTAATTTTAAATGTCTTAAACAAATGTTTTGAATGGCTAAAACAATTTATTCTTCTGATGATATTTTCATTATTTCTGTTTGCTATTTAAAACAATTCCTTAGTGAACGCCCTTGAAAATATCTCCTGAGTGTATTGGAGTTTCATTGGGATGATTTCCTAGATATGAAATTGCTGAACCATAGGATGTAGCCATTTTCAAATTATTAAGATATTGTCGAAATGTTCTCCAGTGTGGTTGTGTCATAGTATGTCCTCTCAGCAACAGTGGAACGGACTTCTAAGGTTCTGAGGACAAACATTGTAAAATACTTTCTACAGTTGTAAGAGCTCCCATCCCCCGCCCCCCCGCCAGCTGTCCTGTATGTTTCTGCTCATGTAATGGTCATACCTCTAAAAGTCATTTCTTTAAAAGAAAAAACAGAGAAAAGATCAAAACATTGTTCATGTTCATTTGGGCACCATTTCTGGCAAAGATTTGCTATGTTCAGCTATTTTCTCAGAATGAATTTTTTCCTTACCAAAGTTAACACTCTTGCCTTTATTCTCACCATTTGAATGAGTAAAACCTCTGACCTTTTCAACATTTTCATAGGTCCTGAGGGAGTTATCTAAACACTTTGTGCCTGCTTTTTTGAGATTTTCCTGCTTATTTAAAATCCTTTGAACGATAATAAAAACCAGCAATTCTTGGTCTTGGCATAGTTCATCTCCTGAATTCCTTAACTCTTTTGTACCTATCAGGTATCCAACTTAAAATTTCATGTCAGTGTCCCACAAATATGGGTGTTGATTCAACCTCTGAGAGCAACTTCCTGCACTTGAGATTTTAGCTGCCACCCTAGACTGACCCTGCTGACACATCCTTCTAGGCTCCTTTCTAGAAGAGCACCACCCCGACTGCCAGATCAGTTACCTGAAGATTTTGTTTTATAACTGAGCTCTTAAATGGTAGCAAAGTTTTCTGACCATAGTGAATAACAAAGCACATGTTCATCCACAGAGCTTTGGGAGAGATGCCTTTCGTTCCTGTTTACCCCTCATCTTCACATTTCCCTCCTTCCATTTTATGCTCATTATACTGGAGGAGTGAGCACAGGCATCAAAATTTTCTGGCTCAGTTTTGCTCTAAGGCTGTCTTTAAATGTTGACTATTACCAGTGCAGATCACAAAAGCTCAGAACTGTCCTGAGGCAAGTGCAAAGGCCCTGATTTTGGGCCTCCCTAAGTAACCATGGCAAGAGAGACTGGTGCTATCAGTGTGATCAGCTGCCTTGAGGAAATCCCACATGCTGTAGGTAGGTGTCGTTATAATTTGATATGTATAACATTTATCAAGTTTTTTCTTTTGCTTGTTTTTCAGAGGTGTTGTGTGAAATAGGTATAGTTAGATTTGTGTTTTGAAGGATCACTCTGGCTATGGTTTAGAGACTATGTTAGAGACTCTTCATAGATTGATCAAGAGGCTTTTGCCCCATTTCCGGTGAGAAAGGAAGTTTGTGTGAATTAGGATGTTAACAATGGAGGAGGGAGAGCTGATGTACCTGAAAATAATTAGGAGGGAGATTTGACAGGATCTGGTGGTGGCTGTGCTCTGAAGGCAGAGCAGAGTCAAAGCTGAATGACTTTCCTCAGCCCAAGGTATGCAGTTATGAGATTTAAGACGGTGCATGGAATTGTTACAGTTTCATGTAAATACTACAATATCAGTATTAGCTGAAGTCTAGAAAGCCCAGCCTCATGGCACCTGCTACATTGTGTTAGGCTTCCTGACACAAGATAATCTACCTTTTCTTCAAAGAGAGCAGGAGGAAAAAATTATGGGTTCTCTTGTAGACATATTTATTTAAGGAAAATTTCTGAAGCACAAGCCTAGCCTAGTTAGCAGATGGTGTTCACTTGAGCTGACCTGCAGGCTCGGCCCTTCTACCTACAGTGTTTGAGTGTCACTTGCTGTTGAGGACAGTGGCTCGGAGCACTCAGGACTGTTGTGCACACTTCTCACAATGCTTTGTCATAATTCTCACCTGCAACATTCATGGAAGATTTATTCAGGAGGAAAGGGAAGGGCTCTTTCTCCAATTCTTTTTGTTAAGCATCAATGGTGGTGTTTAGGGGACAGGATATTTTTGTTTGAGCTCCCTGGCTTTCAGTAGCAGGCTCAGAGTTGAGATTTTGAATCTTGAATGACTTTAAACAACAACAACAACAACAGCAACAATAACAACAGTCCAAGAATAAAAACAATTAGCATAATCTAATCTAAATTTGATGTATTCAGTGTCTATCTTTAGCTTGCTGTGCAGCAGATGTTTGCTCCACAGGACATGTTTCTAGTCTCCATCATTATCTGAAAGCAGGGAATTAAAAAAAAATCATTAACCTCAAACGTAGCACAGTGTAGGAACCTCCTCCTTCCCAGGCTAAGTTGATTGTCAACTGCAGTGTCTCTGGTATAATTATAAAGGCCTACATTCTCAGATGATTGTCTTTATTAGATTAATGTTTGTGGGGGTTAGTGGAAAAGTTCGGGGAGGAGAGTAATGAGTTCAAGAAAAGCAGAAAGAATATTCAGCTGCTTTAAAATCAGTGTTGACAGTAAAAAGAAACTGTCGTCACTGAGTCCTGGGCCCTCCAGAATAGAAATGCTGAGCTGAATTAATATGAATGACCATACTAATTTTAGGACCAAAGTAAAATCAATGGGCTCTCTGTAAGATTTATTCTCTGTGTTTATTTAGAATTCAAAAGTGGGAGGGTTCAGTAGTAAGAAAAAGAAGCATGAGTTCTCAGGATGCTCTGGGGAACCCCCCAGCAACTCCCAGAAGGACCCCATGCTGACTTTATTCAAAATATGCTCAGTTCTGCCATGGTCCTTCTAAGAACTATACCTCTAGGAAACAGCGGGGGGGAGGAGAGAGAGAGAGAGAGAGAGAGAGAGAAAGGCCAGAGGTCAATCTCAGGTGTCAGTTCTCAGCAGTCATCCACCTTGTTTGTGGAGACAGGCTCTCTCACTGGGACCTGGAGCTGAACAGTTAGGCCAGGATGGCTGGCCAGTGAGCCGGAAGGATCCAGTTATCTCTGCCTTCCCAGTGTTGAGATTACAAGTGCAAGCCACCTGCCGGGCTTCTCATGTGGATGCTAGAGATTGAATTCTGGTCCCCATGTTTGTGCAGCGAGCACTTTTCTGACTGAACTATCTCCTCAGACCCCTAAGAACCCATTTAACTGCCCTGTGTTTCCTGGTGCCTCAACATCTTGGAAAACCGTATAGAATTGTTGTTGGACATGTAGCCACCTCATTTCCTGCCCCAGGATACCATGTAACCCAAGAAGCCCTGGATCGAAATGGGTTCTGGAAAGGCAGCTACATCTCTGCTCTCCGCTCTCCGCTGTCTACTCTCCACACTGACAATGTTGTCTAACAAGTTACTCTGTATAAGGTTTTTTGTCCTATGCTTATTGCCTCATTGGAGGTGGATTTTCTTTTCTTTTATGCTGTCTTGAAAGAAAATTTACTTGAGTTGACCTTAGGCAATAATGACGAGAGAGACCTCAGTGAAGAAATGGAAAACCCATAGGAAATGGCTGTTTTCTTCCTTCTCTGAGGATTTTTTTAGATGACTCCTCCCCCTAAGGGTTTCAGGTCCTGACAGCTCAAGACCTACATTCTCTTGTGAGAGGGGAGTCCCTTTATCTCATCCCAAACACAGCCTGTTTTACCAGCCCTGAAACAGCCCTGTTTTACGATTCCAGAACCCCCTGCCTTCTGGGGGTCACCCAGTTTGGGGGGCAGACAGTGATTGCCTTCCTTGAACGCTCTTGAACAGCTCCATGCTGGAGACCGGGTGCCTTTATGTGCTTGTTCCAACCATGTCATCGTGGCCTCTGCTTTCAGCTTGCTTTGTTTATCCAGCAGCTCATTATTTAAGACTAGCCTGTCAAAATAGGTTAAATATTCTTTGGGAAATATGGTCACATCGTTGAGATACCACAACTATGTTTAATACAGGGAAGATTGGCTTGATAAGAAAAACGTGATTGGCTTGCATCACCAAAAAATATTTTCCTGTTATTCCCGGCTGAGTCTCCACAAGCATCAATAAGCACTAGCAAACCCAAGGGCCATAAATTTCTGTAGCTGACACAGAAAGACACCAAGGGAAGCAGGGAAAATGATTGCTGATGATTCGTTCTAACTACTTGACCTTCTGACCTCTTCTCTAGATATATGATCAAGATGGGACACTACAGCACTTTATTGATGGTGGGGAACCTAGTAAGTCGAGCTGGATGAGGTATATCCGATGTGCAAGGCACTGCGGAGAACAGAATCTAACAGTAGTTCAGTACAGGTAAAGTATATCTTGATTTACCACTTACGGAGCTGAAGCCCTTTGGCTTACATATACAAATTCAGGCTGACTGCGACTGGTTGAAAAACATGCTGCAGAACTCTGCAGAATGGCAGAGATTGTTTTTTCTTTGCTAGGTTTCTGAAACCACCTTAGCTCCTGGGGCAGTAATTTCAGGAGCACCCAGAAGTAGAGATGCTAGTAGTTGACCCTTTGACTCTGCATGGGCTGAAGTTATTCTATATCATCTCTGGAACATCCATACAAGCCTGAATGAGGTTGTCAGTCCACTGACCTAGGGTGACTCGCCCAGCAGATGTGTACACACAGAGAAGTGGGAGCTTGGAGACTCAGTTCCAGGTCCATTCCTCTCAGGCCATCTCTCTGCAAGAATAGTTTCATTGGCACAATGACCTGGGAAACCAAGAACTCAATCTTTCAAACCCATCATGCTCAGCAGCAGTAACTGAGCCAGGGTGACCTCTCCTGCTCCCCTCAAAGATGCCAGAGCAGCTGGGTCTGGCTGTTTGATGACTCCAGCTGTGTTCCAGGTGATGAGGTGGTTTCAAAGTAGAGAGGAGCGCCCTCGTTCCAGCTGCCCCACTCCAGTCTCTTAAAATGCATGGGCAGAGCCCAAAGGGCGACAGGCAAGGTGAAGCATCTTCACTTCCCAGAGTCATACAGGGGGCTCTCTGAGGGCCTAAAAACCAAGATGGAGCCTCAGCACGCTAAGCCGCCTTTTCTCAGTGCACCTGCTGGCCACACGTCCCCACTCAGTGCCTAAGAAGGCTGGAGAGGTGAAGGCAAAAACAAATCAAACAGGAAAAAAGCCCCACAGCTAAGCCTTCTCCTCTCAAAATCCCTCGAAAACATGTGCCGTATAAATATATGAGCTCAGTTATAAACAGCCGTGTTCCCTTTAGAGTCAGAAGCAACTGTTCAGCTTTATTAGGCACCACAGACACATCAAAGCCCAGGGCCTTGTGCTTGGCAACTTGGAGTCCTGCCTGGGGCTATTTATTTTCCTTTCTTTCTTTCTTTCTTTCTTTCTTTCTTTTTTTTTTTTTAAATAAAGTCTTTTTTTTTTCTTTAAAAAGTTTTTTTTTCTTTATAGCTTAAATACTACACAAACCTGACTTGCTCTCTGAAGGTCTCCAATTCAAAAAAAGAATGTATTTGGGCAGCATCCGATTTGTTGGCTTGGTTTCCCTTGCAGCTTTATTCTGTTAAATAATGATTTACATGGACTAGTGCAAGAGGCCATTTGGTTCCCTAGTGTAGAGAGGCTCTGTGCACCTTTGCCATCATGGAGTTTTTATGAAACTCTGAGCTAGAAAATTAGTAAAGATTGTGCTGGTCCAGTCAGCAAGAGATAGTTTGACTGGTTCTATAATGAGTACCCAGGGAGCTTTTGAGGCAAATTCTGACTTTGGGATAAGAAACCCCTAAGGGGAAAGGGGCATGAGTAAGTCATTACCTATCTGTCAATATTAAGTGGATTTTACAACTCTCCTTTCATGAGGGCGTTTAAACTACGAGCTCTCTCAGCTGATCTGTTTTCGATTACTTCAGATCTTTATAAAATGAGCTACAAAAACACAATTTTAAAAACTGGCATCCATCACCAGTGACCATGTCCAAAAGTAAGAAAATAGAAAAGTTGGACCCTGAAGAACCAGCCTAATTTTTGTTGTACATGAATGTCCTCTTCACAAAAAGTCAGCTGGTTTAAATTCATTCTGTTATGATTTGTAATATCTAAATGGAATTTTCTTCAAAGCGCCCTTGATTGATTGACCCTTAGCTGAACGTTTTGTTTTTATTTTGAGGCTGACAATAATGTTTGTTGGCATGTGCTCTGCTTCAACTGCGTTGGGACGCCATGAAGCTATCTTTATGAGTCATCCAACCACAATACTAAATACATGTCAGCAAAGGAAATATTATCTGAAAACGGAAAAATCCCTTTGATGTGCTTCGACATGCAGAGATTTCTGCGAGTTTTGGAAGCTCCAGGCGCTTGTAAGGAACGGTGTACGCTTACACATTTTTCCCCCTTTCGGCCCACTCTGTGCCTCAGAAGACCACCCATTGCTTGAAAACAGTTCTGGTCTTTCAGCGGCAAAGTGTGTCATTTGGTTTTAGCACATTCATTTGCCGGGCGCTGTGTTTATATTAAGGGAAGCCAAACCGAGAGATGAAATGTTTCAAGGGTGAAGTACAAAGTAGACTCAATTTTTCTCAAGTTAGAAGATGCCAGTGATTTATAACTTGGTTCCAATTTTGATTTTTTTATGTAGCAGTGGAAAGAATTAATAAAATGCGCAGCTCTGAGAGATGTGGAGGGAGGAAGGGTGGTGAGGGCTGGACAAGTGGCTGGAGTTTTTGTCAGACAGTCATAGAATGTTGGGGAAAAACATTCTGCTTAGCTAGCAGTGCCCTCGTGAGACAGAATGGCGGTAAGTAAAGAAAATAACAAGATAAATGAAATTTTTGCAGCTGCAAGTAAAATATTGAGAATCTGCACTTTTTTATTGATCTTTATGATCCTATTGCCAAGAGCCACTTTGTGGTGACAAAATATGTTGACAAGTGCATATCTCACTGCCATGAAAAATGCGGAGAAAGATTCGCCTTGTGTTTGCAGTGCTCTGCGAGGAACAAATTGCGCTGCTGCAGCCAATTCCTTACAGAAACGCGAAATTTAAGGCCCACCAACCCTAAACACTTTTATCTGGAGCTTGAGGCTAATATTTGTAGCAATCCTTCATTGAGAAAACCAGTCTCAGTCTCATTTTTTTTTCAATCTGTAGATTATTCTTAAGGGTACCAGGGCTGCAGTTATGAAAAATGTTTATCTCTTAGTACCTTCACTCCATCATTCCAGGGTGTAATCTTTCAACCACCCTAAAGTGCTCCTCTTGTATTTATTGAATTCCCATCCATTTTACCTAAGAGGAATTTTCTCTTCTCCTACATCAAACTTTAGAAAAGAGGGAGCGGGCAGAGAGGAGTTTTATATCTCTTAGTCCTTATGTCACAAAACTGCTTCGTTTTATTAGAAATCTGGGAATGACCAATGTTCAGTTGCCATAAAACACTTAATGCTTTTTCTCCAAATAAGAAATCGATAGTATTAATTTATATATGAGGTTGGGCACTACTGCCTTTGCAGTTTGCCAAGAGAGAGAATGTTCTCATTAATGTGAGGTGGATTTTTTAAAAATGAACTTCTTTCCTGCTGTCTCTTGGGCCAGATATCTGTCTCTTCTGGACCCTCTCTGGAGGGACACTGTGGAAATAAACTGCATGTTGTTTATCATACTGGGTTACAGGCTCTACTTGATGGCTGGGGATAATAAGGTGGGTGTAGATTTATTACAAACTGTTTAGGTGGTGCTGGGCAGAATGTTTGCAGGGGGGGGCAATAAAAATGTGGTGGGGCATATGAGCACTACGTCTTACTAAGTTGGGTTTTCTTTTGTTTTGAATAGGTCGAATATATTCTACCGAGCCTGTATAGATATTCCCAGGGGCACCGAGCTTCTGGTGTGGTACAATGACAGCTATACGTCTTTCTTTGGGATCCCCTTACAATGCATTGCCCAGGATGAAAACTGTAAGAATTTATTTTAGCTCTGAATTCACATCTCAAAGTACCTATTTCAAAGATAACTCTTTTAGAGTGCTTTCTGATTTCTGAAATGTGGTCACTGTGATTCATAATGCAAACATGTATACGTCTGTTCTGCCACCCTTTCCCCTGTGTGCTGCGTTTTGTGGGCCTCTTAACCTTTCACTGGCCAGGTTTTTAACCTGTGCACAATTTCAAAGCCTTTGTCAGAGTTTTGAAGAATTGCTGACAAAGAATGTGATGTTAGCTTGTATCCGCTGAGCACTCACTATGTGTCTGGTTCTATGCTGGGCACCTTAGGGGGCATCAGACACAACTTTTGCTCTGAAGGGATGCACAGCCTTGTTAGAACCTCATTCTACACAAAAATAAAGTAACAAAGAACCAATGTTTCTTAATCAGGACTGTCAACCCTGCTGTCAGTTGAGTGCATTTCCTCCTAAGTAGTCATTAGTATAATCAGAGCAAGAACAGCACATATGACTGGAATTTGTCTTTCTGATTTGTTGTTGAAAACCGTGTCTAGAACTACACAATTTTTTCTATTTTTATTAGCCTGCCAACCTTTATCCTTAAAATAATAATATATTTAGATAAATGTGAACTTCAGCAACTTTCATTTGAACTTTACATTTTTGGTTTTGCAATACTTGGGAAAATATCCTAAGGAAATTTCCATGTTTGGAACAGATTTAGGTCGTTCTAGTGTGCATCAGTGAGAACAGAAGTTTCGATGGTGCTGTGTTTTCCTGTCACTAAATTGACTAATGTGAGACCTGATAATTTGATATACTTCAAAAAAAGAAACAGAGACAACCGATCGATTTGTTAATGGATAGAGAGCTTCATTCTGAAAAAGGGCTCTTTTCCTTTTCCTGTCCACCTGCTTCCTCTCCCACACAGGCACAAACACTCAACCCAGTAAAATGCTTAGTGCTACCTGCCAAATTGCTGATCTTTTCCATGTTGTCTTGAATTTCTTTATAAAAATCCTCAAAGAGCACACTGCCATCAACTTTCCTTTTCTGTTTCACCCTAATCTCAAACTAAGCTCACATGAAAACACAAATCTTTGTGCATTCTCCTTACTTGCCAAGTTTCCCTTGGGAAGTGTGCTCTTCTTGTGATACCCTGTGAGGGGTGTCTGTCTTCACAGGAGGCAGTCCCACCATTGAGTGTGAGGGCGTTAGAGCACATACAAGCATCAAGGCCACGGTGTTCTCCCTTCTCCAGGATCACTCCAAGTCCACCTCCCTTACAGTAAGACCTAAGGGTCACGCATAAAAATGCATCATCAGCCTGGCTGGTCTGCTGGTGCGAGCTCTTCTGTTGGCTGAAACTCTGACGTAAACTCAGCTCCTAAAGTGTGCAATTTAACCCACAAGGATTCTAGAAATCCTGTGAATCTCCTCTCTTCCTCCTTGCATACAACCTGCTGTAGACACTGTGTGTGTTGAGACATGTCCAGGTGTTTATCACACCAAGCACACAGTCTAGAATTCTGAAGTACAGAGCTCATAGTTCCAACATCCATTCATTCCTATTTATTAATAAACACCTACTGTAGGCCAGTGTTTTCACTAGGTGCTGCAAATGCAAAAGGAACACAACAGTCAAGAGTTCCTGACCTCCTGGAGCTTATATTCTAAGTGAGGGAGGGGGCCATGAAAATGTGTAATTAAATGTTGGTCAGATGGTGATGTGTTGTGGAGCTAATAGAGCAGAAAAAGTGATACGGAGTAGCCCCCACCAGCAAGGTAGCCTTTGACCAAAGACCTGAGGAGGTGAAGGAACAGGTCACATGTTACTCTAGAGAAGAGCTCTGCAGGCAGTTGGAGTAAGAGCAGAAGACATGATGAGAATGTTCCCTGCACATGGAAGAGCACCCAGAGTTGGCCCGGCTGTCGTGGAGTGAATGACAGGGCAGTATATAACTCAGGTATGGCTGGATGCAAGGCAGGGATCTGCTTAGGCCCTGCAGATCCCTGTGAAGTCCTGGATTTGGCTCTGTGAGCCTACTTATGGGACTGGCATGGAGTTTTGAGCTGTAGTGAGATGGTCTGACTGAACTTTCTATAGGATTATGCTATCTTTTGAGTGCAAACTAGACAATGAGAGGTGAGCTGGATCTCAGAAGCTCTTGTAGGAGCTGGAGGTGAGAAGATGGTAATTTGGACCAATATGGAAGTGGTAGAGGTGGTAAGAAATTGTGGCATTCTGAACGTATTCTGAAAGTAAAGTCAACAGCATCTTCTGACACATTAGATGCTATGTGAGAGAAAGGGAATCAAGGGTGATGCCAAGGCTTTTATCCAAGGAGCTAGAAGGCTGGTGGGATCATTTACTGAGTTTAGACACAGAAATGGAAAGTGTGGGATGACTACTTAGGGATTGCCTCTTACTTGACATGGGTCTCTGGAATGGAAGTCCTATGAACACACATTGCTGTTGCGTGGTTGAGAGTCACAGTCACCTGACAATGAATGTCTGAGTATATCAGATTCAGCGCCAGAGTGCCATTGAAAATGTGCTTTCTGGAACAACATATGGTTTGTTTTCCAGTGCCTTCTGCTATAGTTCCACCTGCATGAAACATTTTTGAGGTTGCTGATTAGAATGTCAAACTCTACCAGGGCATATGTTAAGCCATTTACCTTCTGACATCCTTGAACAAAAATTCACAGAGCTATAACAGTGTGCAATATTGTGACTTCAGTGCAAAAGGTGAGCTGCCTCTTTAGGGCTCTGTTCAGAGCTCTCAGTAAGGGAATAGGGACGTTTAAAAGGAATTAAGTCATCGTCTAAAAGATGCAATGGTGACAATGTTCCTTTCCTCTAAGGGTAGTATAGGAATTTTATTTCTGGTCTCAAAGTCATACATCTGTTATGTGATTGGCCACCCAAGAAACCAGCAGGGTGCTTCAGATAGTGAGGGGAGAAATACAGAATAAATAATAATTCTGAAATAGATTGCCATTCCATATGATCACCAAGAGGCCTGGGAATGCTTTGTGATCAGAATTCCTTATTCTGTACTGAGAAAATATTCAGTGTGATTTAAAAGTGCACATGTGTGAAAGGGCATGATCAGAGAATTTATCAGCTAGACTTCCTCAACCCTGAGTAATTTAAATCATCTCTATGGATTAGCAATTCTCAGATAATTTTTGCCCCACTTTGCTAGTCACAAAATGAATTAGGTTTCAAGACAAAGCTTGAGATCAAAGACTTCCCACATCAAATGTTGTTCAGAGATTCCTTATAGTGCTGTGTACAAGGCACACAATTGAATGTACACCGATTAGGCTGGGGAGATGGCTCAGCCAGTAAAAGCGTTTGCCATAAAGCCCAAGTTCAATCCCAGGGACCCACATGATGGAAGGAGAGAACTGACTCCCAAAAGTTGTCCCTGGCAGATGTGCCCACCCTATACATACTGTAAATAAGGTATTTTAATAGTATGAACATGCTGTATAAATATGACAGTTTCTATCACAATTACGAGAAGAAATTAAATATTATGTCAGACAGATTTTCATTGTTGATGAAATTGATACTGGACCAAGATATTCAAGGAAAATGTGATTTTACTTAGTGAATAATACTTATTAAGCACTTTCATTTATAAAAGTATCATTTTCTTCCTATAGCCTTTCAACAGGCAGAGTACACATTCCCTATTGAGCGTGTGCGGAGGGGCCCAGGGCTCAGTAAGTGCCCCCCTCTGTCAGCAGCATGTAGCAGTGGGGCCGCTGAGCACGCTCACCACCTGGACAGGCCAGTGAAAGCTGCCCGCCTCAAAGGGAAGACAGTACTCCACACAGGCATTTGGGTTCTGGAAGCAATTCCTATGTTATTTTCTTTTTAAAAAATCATGGTTAAAATGTAATAGAACTCTAAAGAGAGAGCCCCTCCATTCACTGTGGGCCTTTCAAAAGAGCCTGAAGGAACACTTGTGTCGACAGATCGCATCCGCAAGAAGGAATGAGGTTCCCCAAAGCTTCCAGTGGGGGATTAGCTCCTGCAGAGTGTAAAGACCAGAGTGCGTTCATATTCATTTCAGAGGAAATTAAAAAAAAAACCCTGGGAATAAATGTTAAACAAGCCTTCCCGCTGCTCGTTCTGCCTTGGCATATGAAGCTGAGGTGGCAGAATGTGAGACTTGATGGTCTCGCAGGAGCTGCACTGGCAGGGTTCGACTCTGCCTTGAGGACGCCTGCCTGTTTCTTTTGACATTTAAAGAACAGCACATAAAAAGGGCCACCTCTGCACACCTCTCCTTGTCCCCACCAACAGTAGGAAGCCGGACCCAGTCTAAAGAGCACCCTGCTCAATTCTTTCTTTATCCATGTGACCTTTAGGAGACCATGACACAGTTCAGTCCAACAAGAGCATGTGTGTATGTGCAAGGCCTGAAAGTAAGTGTTGCGATGCTCTGTGAAAACTCAGGCCCCAACCTTCTAGGAGAAGACACATTAGTAGACAACTGCAGGATAAAACTCACTGAAGGTGCCTGGTGAGAGCTATAGCAGGGACCCCGAGCTCAGCTGTTAGGCTGAGTATGAACACGCAGAGAGAAGCTGGGATTGGGTTCCTCCTGCAAGTCCACATATAGGAAGGTTACTATCTTGTTCCTGAATGGACACTAGAAGAATGTCAACCTCAAGCCAAGAAGAACTGGCCATCTTGGGCTACTCTAAAATCTAGTCATAGCTATAGAATGATATGGGCCCTGATTAGATACTACCTGACAGTTACAGAAACTCTGGACCAAGAGTATAATATAAAAATTGGCTTAGGGATGGGGAGGTGGCTCAGTAAGTAAAGTGCTTGCTTTGCAAACACAGGGACCTGAGTTCACTCACTAGAACCCCCATGAAAAGCTGGGCATGGTGCTGCATGCTTGTCACCTCTGGAGAGGCAAGGGCAGGTAGATCCCTGGGACTTGCTGGCCAGCTGGTCTAGCTGAACCAGCAGGCTCCAGG